TTGAGTCTCAGATCTGAGAAGTCTTAGGCCTTCGAATTTGGTCGAGTACCCAGGAAGAATGAATTATGATAGATCAGGAAGAGATCAGGAATGAGGATTGAAGATTGTTATGAGAAGCGATAGAAAGTATGTAGTCTTGTTAGATGGGAACAATGTGTATGCAAGTACATCAGAGATTTAATCAATATTTGTATGGTTGCTTTCCAAGTACATAACAAGATGGCGGAACTAATTATTTGGCCCTTCTTCGTATAATATATTAATCCTTTTAATCCTTATCCCAACGATCTGCTCCCATCATCGGCCCTCTATCTCGTATCATTTCATAAGAGTATTGCAGATTCGGAAGAGATAAGCACTCATCAACATCACAATATCTCCAGTCTTCCCAGTCAATAAAATAACTATCCCATAATCAGTAACACTGAACCATCTCCCAAATTTCTCAATAAAATCGACTAACCATTTATCATCCTCCCTATCATAAAGTAAATTCCTCATCGCCTTATCTCTATTCTCAACCCCAAGTTTCCGAATCAAGCTAAAAGAAAAGAAATCAGTACATCACAAGTCTCCTCAGGAATAAAATCAATCAATCATACACGGCCGATTCTTCAAAAGCACGTCGAAAATCATCACGTTCACTTTTATTCCACTGTCCCCAAAATACGCCTGGTAGAATGCAGTCACCGGGCAATTTTTCCATGACCAGATAGACGAGATAGCCTCCTTGGACGGGAAAATTTCGTTCCTGTTCATGTTTGGCTAAGCCAATAGCGTGCGGGAAGGGCTTAGATGGTATTTGTACTTCTTCTTCGGCGGCGGTGGCGGCGCTCTGAAGTCTGTCGTAGGATTCTTTTAGTATGTTTAGGCATTTAAACTCCTCGTCCCAATCTTCTTCGTTGGCGGTATCCGGATTGCTAAGAGAACCCGAGTGGGTAGCAGAATCCAAATGGCTAGCGATGTCGGAATCGCCAGCTGAATGGGAATTGTCAACTGAAATCGAATGAGCAGCGGAGTCCGAGTTGCGAGCGGAACTCAAATGGTTAACAGAACTTAGATGACTATCGGAGCCCAAATGACTGGCGATATCTGAATGACCAACTGAATTCGATTTGACAGCAGAATCCGAATTACCAGTATGATTAGAATGATTAGCAATATCCGAGTCGCCGGCTGAAACCAAACTACTAGCTGAAATGGATCGCCCACGGGAGCCCGAATGACTGGCGATATCTGAATCGCCAGCTCTATCCAAATTCTCGGCTAAATAAGAATCATACAATTCACTAGCATGAATCCAATCATCGTAAGTATTTATTTCTGGAGTCCTTTGATAGTTATTAGTAGGATGCGAAGCAAGATAAGAAATAAGGACGTCCGTGTAGAAGCACTTACTGCATCCATATCTTGACAACCGCAGGAGACTTGATCCCTTCTCTCTCATGTACAACTCTGCATTCATATACAGCTCTTGAGAAGTCCTCATATTCTGCTTCATTAATGGGACTCCCGGAAAGTTTCCAGATATCATTACCAATCTGGAATTCATGCCCTGATTTTAAATACCTTGCGATCCAGCATTTTGGTCCCCACGCCATTGTTTGAATTCTATACAAGGTACAAGAAGGTGGTCGTTGCGAAGGATACCAGGTAATCATTATGACCGAAGGATATGAGAATATGTGGTGGTATATATGCTGGTATGTTCAGAATGACTTGTCTCTACTGCCAGGCAGCAGTTAGGCAGCAGTGAGGGGTCACCGGGATACAGTAAAACATAGCAAAGTCGGTCTGTTGAACATGATGCGAATACAGTTATATAAAACTGAAAATGTAAGACAGAAATAGGATAATTTCTCATACAACGCATGAATAGCGAGTGCTTGTAGCTGAGAAAAGGGCATCAAGCGAAGTGTGGAGCAAAAAATTCCCAAAAAAACATACAACAGTGGGGATTCGCTGGTGGTCACCCACCCAACTACTAATCCACCGATCTGAAGCTTGTGTATGGCAGAGCGGACGGGATGCCCAATTCTCTTCATTCTATGGTCGTATGTGTCAGAAAGTGGTGCCTGTGAACTTATGTAGACAGCCTCGATGCGGGTAGATGGAAGCGAAGGGGCATCACACACGTGGAATTTGGTTCGAAATTGTTATTTTGGAGAGCTTTGGAGGATTCCTATTGACAGGAGACTGGAAATTGGATTGAGCATATTCGTGTCTCTACTTCGAGATATGAATGATGAGATCATGGCGGTAGAATTCACCAGTGAACTTTTACATAAATCAATACTCTACCGCACTTGCGATGCCCAGCTTGTGGCAGTTGTACATGATTCAAGTGATCTTAATTTGTCCTATATTGAGAAAAACATGATTCTGAAATTACAGAGTAGTAATCAAAGCTCCCTTACAAATTCTCGTTTCATGTGCCATAATCCAAGGCAAGAATTTCCCGTTGTCCGGATTGAGTCTTACAATGAAAGATCCCGGAACTCTTGGATTAATTTCATACAATGAACCGACTGGGAACATTAATTAGCCTTGCATGGATGGTATCATGAGATCTCCGAGAACTTCCACTCCGTGTAAGGAAAACTCGTCAAGTATGGACTTCAGTTCGGTCCATCAGACATTCTGCCTGAGGCTGCCTCCAAAGGACTTTAATGCCATACATAGCTTGGGCGGAGTTTTTCGTACCATTAAGATCACCTACCTACAGTTCACGCCAGACACAGCTGCATTATGAAGCTCACGCAGAAGCATAGGTTCGAGAACGGAATTGGATGTAGTTCCGATAACCCGGATTCAGAAATCGTGAGCTTGTCGAAAATAGACAAAAACATTCGAAATAAACTTCCATCTTCTACTCACGAGTTTCCCATTCTTTCCACTTGATTACGAAATAATGAGATATGCAACAAACCTTTGAGCTTAGCCTCGTATCAATTCCCAACCTTTCAAATAAGTCTAGTACCCTACTTTTCGGCCACCCCTAATTTCGGCCACCTTTTTACACCAAAAATGACGAAAATCGATCTTTATAACTTTCTTATTTATGAATATAATTTTTTGAAATTTTGAATATAGATTTATTACTTATATAATAGTAAATTTTGAAAATTTCAGATTTTTCGCGATTTTATTGATCGAGATATTAAAGGTTGAAATTTGATTTTCAATTTATATAGGATTTACATACAAATTTTAAAAACTTGAAAATCTTAAATAACTTTTCAATAAAAATTATTAAAAATAAATTATAATTTTTTTTGAAATCTTTAAATCAAATATTATATAATAGATTAACATTTTGAATTTTAAATGATATAAAAAAACTTTTATTAATATTTTTAGATTTTACAGGGATTAAAAATCATGATATTTTGATTAAAAGATTTTCTGTAAATTATTTTTTTAAATAATTTGATCTATTTGGTAAATTTTGATTCAAAAATCCTTAAAAAATTTATAGTTTATTTTTAATTATTTTTATTGAAAAGTTATTTAAGATTTTCAAGTTTTTAAAATTTGTATGTAAATCCTATATAAATTGAAAATCAAATTTCAACCTTTAATATCTCGATCAATAAAAATCCGAAAAATCCGAAATTTTAAGAATTGATTTATAATTATATAATAAATCTGTAATTCAAATTTTATCAAATTATATCAATTCATTGTAAAGTTATTAATAAATAAAAATGATGATTTTTGGTGTAAAAGGGTGGCCGAAAAGTAGGGTACTAGACTTATGCAGCAAAACTGGAAATTTCTTCGGAAGAAATGATTCCCAATGGAGTTCCGAATCAAATGGAAGATGCCGAGTAATCAGACATACAACAGAAGTACAACTACCCACTAAGGAAAAAATTTCAAGTCAGATGGTTCCAGGAAGAAAGTTCCCAGCAAATAGATTTCGAATAGAAAGGTTTTGAATAACGATATATGGAATGAAAAACTGAAATTGCCACCAGGAATAAAGATCCGGAATTCTTTCGAATATTGATATACAACAAACCTGTCGAGAATGATGAAAATAGCATAATATCAATGCCAGTGAACATGGATTGCTGTAAGAGCATGAAACTGTATCCCTTCATTTTGCGCTTTCCCAAGTCGTGTATCCAAGAATTGGTTTAAAAAAAGAGAGAAGAGCGGAGGGGGATAATTTGACTCGGAGCAAATGAAATTATGATTAAAAAAACATAATAATCTAATAGACAAAAGTTAACAACATAGCATTTGACAGTAACAAAGTAAGTATAACCATACCGATTGAAGATGCACCAAGTTTTATTAATGATACAGTGTAAAAACCATCTAAGCACCAAGCAATTCTAGTGCAACACAGATATAATATTTCACTGCTGATAAAAGGGACTCTCTTATATAGAACGCCATTGATTAAGGAGCATCCATCTCCCACCCCCCATCCGTCTAAATCCCCACCAAAAAGACCCCCCGCGAATACCCCACTACCCCCTCGCTTAATTTTTGTTAAGAATTTTTTTTACAAACTCTTTACAGAATTTTTCCTCAATCCCGCAAATATATTATCAATCAGAAAGATAAGTCTTCATCAAACCATCAAGCAAAGCCTGCCCGGCTAGCTCAATCGGTAGAGCGTGTGACTCTTAATCACAAGGTTGGGGGTTCGACCCCCCCGTTGGGCTCAATCCCCATCATTACAGCTTGATTTTTTGGCTTTTTTTAGTTTTCCTGTGAGAAGTCATTTTTGGTTCTTTTGGATGACTTATTTGTGGGCTAGGGAAGGTTAATAGAGATAAAGGATGAGAGAAAAAGATTTACTGATGTACAACGTTGCTACTGTTGAATGAATATCTAATCTCGCTTGCTTGTGAAGAATTTTTTTTTCTGTACCTTACTGTTGTACCCCTCCATTTAATTTTCATTTAAACATTTTGATATAATGAAAAATTTGATCATGATAACTTTTTGCAGAGCACACCCCAACAATAACTAGTAATCTACTAGCGCCTGTGGTTTAGTGGTAAAATCCATCGTTGCCATTTGACATCTCTTGATCTTACGAGACGTCAAACAACATCGATGGGCCCCGGATTCGATTTCCGGCGGGCGCATCTTTTGCCCTAGTTGTGAGTGATATATTTTTATTGACAACAAAGCGGGTAATCATGATTAGAATCATCTTTACCCCCATCATCAAAGTGTTTTGTAATTCCTATTTAAAATAATATTTAATTTCTAGATTCCTAAACTTACTCTTTATATTCATTAATACTATTATTTATACTTTCAGTATTTTTTTCTAGAATTGAAAAGACATAGTAATTCTTTCTTAATCTTCTTTTTTAGTAAGTTTCATTTTAATATTACTACTACAACGAAATCATATTTCTTTATATTGTGAAGGATGATATTGGGCTTTCTAAGATTTTAATTATTTATTTTAACTTGGAGTGTGTATAATCTTGAATTTGAAAGATTCCTTTATTATTATATATATTGTTGTCATTTGTTGAAGTGGGTGAGTTTTAGCACTAAGAGGTCTTTCGGCTAATATAAGTGTGCTCTAGTGCTATGGATCTACTACATCTGAACATATATTTTCACACAGTGCCCCGTTCCTCCATCAACAACCAACAAGAATAACTAGCGCCTGTGGTTTAGTGGTAAAATCCATCGTTGCCATTAGCATCTCTTCCTTACAAGAGACGTCAAACAACATCGATGGGCCCCGGATTCGATTTCCGGCGGGCGCATACAATAACTTTTTTGCCCAGATTCCGCAATTTAGAAGGGAAATAGGCTGCTTTGATAAGTTTTGAAGTTGTGGTCGGGTGGAGAAGGAATGATTTCTCTATTCCTACCTAGTCATTGTTACATTTTACAACGCGTTGCCATGATGATGTAAGGGAGTTATAGGAGAAGACTTGTCACGGGCTGGCGAGCGGGCCCGATCGGGCGCGCCGGCCCTCCGAATAAGCGAGAAGCTAGGCCCGGTCGGGCCTAGCTCTCGCACATTCTGTATTTATATCTGTTTTCCGTTCTTAGAATCGTAGCTTTTCGAGCTATGTCTTATTAATAAAGTTGTATCTGTTAATCTGCTTGCCGTCCCCGTGATAAGGCTTAAATTACTTTTTAATTCATTTATTAATTCATGTGTATTATTAATATCAGTGTGCAAACACCTGTAATTCCATGAACACAAGCACTATTTTAAAATGGCTGCGCAACGGGTACCCGCGGGGCGGATAATGACTCTGGTGAGTTATCCGTGGGTAACCCGCTGGCGGGGCGGATAATTGAAGAATTTGAATGGGTATCTATGGGTTATTTGCGGATTATCTGTGGATAACCCATTAACCCGTAGGTTGGTGGATTATCCGCAAATAATCTGCGGGTTACTGGATACTCGCTTATTTTTTGAAGCTATTCCCAAAATATTATTTATAAATTATTCAAATTATCCACCAACCCGCAAATAACCCATTACTTACAGGTTGATGGGTTATCTGCAGATTATTTGCGGATAATCTGTACGGAGCGGGTTATTTTAAAACCTCAACGGGTAACCTGCGGGGCGGATAACCCACGGGTATTTGTGGGTTGCGGGTTATTTCTGTGCAGCAAGTCAAATTTCCTCTGGCTAGCTTCGTTACTTGTAGAGCATATCCTCCAAACAAAACATCTGACAAGAGATTGTCTTGATTAAGCTCCAGCTAGCATGGAATTATTGAGCTACTTATAGTAGCTTTCGGACCCGACAAGGATCATTCAATTCACCATCTGTATCCACCTCTTAGGATTTACAGTAATATGATTAATATCCATCAGGGGCGGGGTTGACTGTGAAGTTACTGTAGGAGTTGATGGAAGTAAATGACATGTCCTGTTTAGCATCTCCCTTCCTTTCTACTCCCTCTTGGTACAATATGGAGACTTAAGGTCTTGTATATTGGGATATAAAAGAGTCGACAACACGCTCCCGAAAGGTCATCAATCACATATTCAGATATGGCGATGTTACATTCATTGATGCTTTTGGTGCGCCCGAGAGCTGTACCAATGGTATGTAGTCTTGGACTTGTGTTGGACTAAAACTTCCCAAGGTAATTGGAGAAATGACTATACTTCTGCAATGAACATTCTGGATATTCGATGACAATCAACTAGAATCTCGTGACTGACAATGAGAATTTATGAGGGTGGAGATCCAGGGATTGTATAATATCTGAGTGAAATGAATATCTGGATTGGAGCAGATTATTGTACAATGTTATAAACAAGATAATGTGACAGGAAATGTGGCGGATGCAAAGCCATGCACAACTATGCCTTCAATATCTGTGAAGAATCCGGTTCATAGACACCATGTACCTACACCCTTTCACAAAGTCTATATAGTGTAGAAGATATCTTGGAGCAGTGCCGACGAGGAAAGTAGTTGTATGGGTCTATTCAAGCCGAAACCCCTCGCGCCTCCCGCCGAATCCAAATCAGAGCATCATTCACCACTTCTCATTATTTCACTTATATTATTCACCACTAGTTCCCATTTCACAGCCCATATTTTCCGACAAATTCGACTATCTGAATCATCAAACCAGCATAAAAGAACCCTCTACAATCTTCAAAGCCACTTCAAGTTGATGAAAAATGATAAGTAACAACCACAATGAGAGATGTATACTGTAAAGTAGGTGTGCAAGATATTTAAATAACTTTCAATATTTGCTCTTTAAACCGGAATTAGATGTATTTGATTAACTCACAAGAACGTAAATATTTGCAGCATAAAAATGTAAGTGGGCGGTAGGTAGTACAAATGGGAAAGGGACATCAGTGATAGTTTAAGAGGGGATGCAGATAGGATGAGCTATAATATCATAGATAAAACTAGGGTCTCCAATAATCCAACTTCCATCCGAGCTATCTAACCGACAAAGGTGCCAATATATTAATAACAAAGTAAACGACATCGCAAAACGAGCCTCGGATGAGAGAGATTATACATTCGTCAATGTATGAATATCAGAATCATTGTAGAATTATAAGGGTTGCGGAACCTTGCTGTCAGAAGCAAAAATATTGACACTTTACTCTCGTGTTTCTTGAATATTACAGTACGATAGAAACCGTAGCGATTTATATAGATAGACAAAGACTGGTATTCTTTATCGAAATCCCTTCGCACCCCTTGGACCACCTTTATCCTGACAAGATCCTCCACCAAAGCTCAAACCACCTCAGTAATGAAACGCCTTTCTTCAATATTTAAGCCTTCTCAAACTTCCTGAGTTGCGTTGCTACGAAGCCATGGGAAGTACGTCTTGGAGAAAGTCATAAGAAACTTTGAGCTTTGAAATCTTTTAGAGCTTTTTGGGGAATAGAATGGTAGAAGTGGATGAAGATGATCGCAAAGGGAGGGAAGGGGATGGGATGAGATGAGATGACGATGACGATGATGATGATGATGACAATGAATAGAAGATGGGATATGCAGAGAGCAACAACAAACAAACATCTCCCAGCGGCGAAAATAAGGAATAAAATGAGCAGAAAGCACTTGTGGAATAACATATTTTCTATCAGCAAGGAAAGAACGCCAACTAAGAGGTTGAGTTAGAAAGTCATTGATAACAAATCCCGATCGTACATATGACATTCACCATGAATTTATCAAGTCAGCAAATATTCTTGATACTATAGCAAGATGGAAATCTCGGTGACCATAATAGGTGAATGAACACGGCATCCTCTCATGAAGTCATTCTTCTCAGGTTTCTTGCACACACCCCACTCTCCTCTTCCAAATTTAAATCTCCTCAACATAAAAGTAGCGTCCCTATTCTTTAAGTCTACTCGAATATTTTAAAGATACAACTTCTGGCACTTGCAGGAAAACACTTTTGCAATGAAGTATTTTGGTGATATTAAAACTCTGTAGAGTATCGAATGTTTTGAAAATAGGTTGAGATGAGACGGGTGGTGATTTAGGAAATGCAGAATTTGTACAAGGAATTTTGAAGAATATGTAGTTGATAGCGCTAATGAGGAGGAAGATGGCGATGATGAAGAAGAGAGAATGGGATCAGATATGATATAATATACCAATAATGATAATGACAACAAAAAGCAATGAGAAGACAGAAATATGCTCTCACATTGGGTTTCTTCACATTATCTGTTAATTGCTGTAGAAAATACAAATTGGGAGACTGAATCAGAGAACCATACATTTTAGAGATGACATCCAATTGTATACCAATAGTCAAAAAGACCCTACTACCACATCAATAGCCATTTCTTGGTTCGATACTGCTGCAGGAAAGAGATCTCTGTGACTTGAATAGATAATTTTCTGGATCTTTGAGTTTCACCCCCCTTTCCAATCCCCCCTCCCCCCCCCCCCACCAAACAAAAATATATTTCAAAAATAAGGAATAGTTACGTATACATAAGCCACCATCCGTTCACCCAAACCCTTTCCCACCCGTTTCCTACAGTAAAGTGGGACCTATTTTTACCACTATAGCCTCATGATCATATGTATAATCTATCAATCCATCAAAGGAGCGAATCCAAGCTAACCATATATAAAACCCATCCCTCCCTCAAATCAAACCAGTATATCCAAATAGAATCATTGATACAATTCCATTAGGAACGGGCAGGAAGATTATTAATATGAATGTGGCTTTCTCCATCCATTCTGAAGGGATGTAAAGAAGAAAGGAAAGTTGAATGTGGGGATGAATTCGAAGTAAGTGTCATCTTGAATACAATGGTTACATAATTATCGACGACAACAGATTCTCTTCATGTAGGAGGTGAGATGGATATATTCTGTGACAGCGATGATAAAAGGTAAAAACGCAAGATAAGGAAAGAGAGGAATACTCGCATACAGAGGTGCATGGGATATGGTGATTGATCATAGCATATCTACAGCTTATATTCTTTTGGGGAACTCCGCTTTTCAATGCAGAAAACCATGTGTTCTTCTGGATGGAATTTTTACTCCTTACTATAGCAAGTTTGGAACTTTGCCGTTTTATATAGATGAACTACGAACAACTAGCACCACTTTTTCTATTCAGAACTTCAATTCACCACC